CACTTAATGAATGTTTGGAAACTAAAGACACAAACTGATTCAGTTTAGAAAGTGTCATTTTTAGCCATTCTTCTGTTAAATAAGTCTTCAGCTGTGCAACTGAATGGGACCTTTTTTTACACTTCGGCACCACACAGGTTCAATAAGAGACAGGCAGGTCAGTCTTGCACCCTCACTCTCTGATTATGCTGCTATGCTGTTGTAACATGTACAGAATGTTTCTTGGTGTTGTCATGTTAAGCATGGACATCCCTGAAAAAGATGTCATCTAAAAGGCAGCATATGTTGTTCCAAAATGTGTATATATCTTTCAGTGTTTTTAGAGCTTTAATAGATACCAAGTTACCCACTAACACCCCCCATTCCATGACAAGCGCTGGCCTTTGATCTTAATGTGGGTAACAATTTGGATGGTTCTTTTATTCTTTGGACAGAGAACACAACATCTATTATTACCATAAATAATGTGAAAGGTTGACTCGTCAGAACACAGTACACCTTTCCACTAAGCATCAGTCCATTTCAGATGAGCTCGAGCCCAGAGAAGTTGGCAGTGTTTCTGGATGTTGTTGACGTATGGCTTCCACTGTGCATGTGAGATGTTTACAGATTCCCTACATCATTTAATATACACAGTTGAGAGTGAAATACCAAAATCCCTGCAAAAAGCTCAGTAAAAAAAAAGTTTATTTTAAACAATTGGAATATATGCTGATGCATTTTTGGCAAAGTGGCGGGTCTCGAACCATCCTTGCTCATAAAGGACTCCGCCTTTCCTGGACGCTCCTTTTATAACAAAACACGATCACCTCTTTTTTTTAATGTTTTCTGAACATTTCACAATGTTCCTAGTCTTAAACTGTTCATATCCCAACTTTTTCGGAATGTGTGAAGTTTTGGAACAATGAAGTCGATAAGATTACATTACATATCTTGTCCTTGTACTGCTTTTGTTTAAATACAGATCAAAATAGATCTAATTCACTGCCTTTTTAATTAAATCACTGCTAACATTTTCTTTCAAATTCTGCTATAGTTGCTTCCTTCTGCAAGCACAGCCATTTCCAATTGTCATTGCATACACAGTGTAACAACAGAACTGAGAAGGTATTGGTTTTACATGAATTTTAATTTTTTTCAGCATTAACATGCACAATGCTCAATGTTTGATAAAGAACAATGGGTTTGTTCCTATTTACAGATTTGTAATACAGCATAACACTTGGCACAAAACAACCTTTTGTCAAAGATTCACTTTACAAAATGATGATAAAAGCATTACTGTGTGCCACATTCCTGTGAGAAACCTTTGGCCAGGATGAAAGCCTTTAATACATTCAGTTCCCTCTGTGATTACTACTCACCTGAATGTTCTCTTGTTTACCAGCATAAATATGGTGTTCCACCTGCTGTTCTCTGTCAGTGAGGCACACCTGCCTCATAATGAATACTTTAAGATGCACACTCTAGATATAAACATGTGAGTGAATGATGTGATTTTGGCTGCAGAACTATACAGACACACGGATCATTTTTCGCATACAAGCTAATTCCTTGTATATCCTATACAAGAGTGTATGTCACTCCACAGTGTATTCTGTTACTACACTACTACACTACACTAATTGTGTTGCTCATTCTTTGTCAATCACATCTTTTTTCTCCCTCTGACTTACAGATTTGCACAGATTTAGATATGAAGTGCAAATAAGTGGCAGATGGAAAATTACATATCCCTGTATATAAGTTCTTATGTATTTGTGCCACCGGCCCATTCCCCGGGCCATGATGATGCCCTGAACCCCAAAGTGCTGAGGGGTTGGTGTCCGAGTCCCAAGCCCCACCTCCTGGGCACCACATCCGGTCCCACAGTGAGGCCACTTTAATAGACTTTATGTTTAAGATTTGTTAGTGAACTCCCTTCCAGGTTAAGTGCACATGCTGCTCTTAATGAAAGCCAGCTGATGTTGATTTGGAGTTGGTGGGGGCGTCTTTGAAAAGAGCAGAGAGGGAACCGAGAGGACAGAGATGGACGGCCAGCAGCACTCTGGATGGATGCCCTAACATTCCCCTGTAAAATTCCAAAAATAATAATAGTGGATTTCTCCATCCTATCATTCCATACATACTATTCTTGTTCAGTGTTTGCTGGATTGTAAACTGAAACAATAGCCAGTGTAAGAGAGGCCTGCAGATCCTTAGGTGTTGATCTCTCAGAATATTACGTGCCTTATTCTTGGAGTCACTTTTGTTGGCTGACTGCTGCTGGGGAGGGTAACAGTGGTGTTCACTTTCCTCTGTTTCGATCTGCCTGATCAGTGAAGGAAAGTGTTGGAAATTGTTTTGGAGCCTCTTCCAGTCTAATGAGAATTGGTCATTGTTTTCCTGAGGTCTTCATTGGCTGAGAATGTAGAGACTGTGCAACTGTTGCTCGCTTCACCAGTTGCGACTTCATTGGAGCGTGGCAAAAAGAAAGTCACTATTAAATAAAACATGGCCTTGGAAGGAAGACTCTTAAGCCAGCTGAAAGAAGGCTCTAATTTTTGTTTTTTGATCAGGGGAAGCATCTACCACTTGTAATTACCATTGGGTACTGCGTAGGTCTAATAAATAGGTAATCCCATTTCCAAACTGCTCCAAAAGTCTGTCTTTTCTTTGTATTATGAGCTTCATGCAGCTAAAAAGAAGTCACTTGTCACTGAAAGCAGCAGTGATCAGAATATTGAGCTAACTTACTAATCTGACAACATGGATCAGAACAAATTTAAATGAAGGACATAATGTCCACTCCTGGCGACCATATGGGTGTGTTTCTGAATCTTCTGTCTTCTTGTCCTTATTTTATCATATTTTACCTTTTACAATCTTAATAGTATGTAAAAGTGGAGGCCTATACATGTTTCATTACTTTATCATGGCACGTTATTGAGCTTGTTGGTTGAAAGAACAGTATGTTGAGTAAAACTGAACTGGAAACTAAATAACGAGCTTGTGTTTGTGTAAATGATGAGCTTGTGGTTTATTTCACTTTATAACAAAATGTGGTGGGTTTTAAGACAAATACTACCTCTTTGTGTGAATCCTGGCATGAAAAAGTTTACAAACCTTTAAATTAAACTTACATGTGTTGGGGTTGGATGTGTTTTGTCACTGTGATTATAGCTTTGAGGTGGACCTATAAAAAGCTCTATAATAATAATAATAATAATAATAATAATAATAATAATTCTCGTTCTTTTGCATATTGAACGTTACAGTGTTTTTAATGGCCTGACAGTAATGTGTTTGAGGTGAATTATGGGGAATATTTGTATTAGTTCAGACAATCCAGTCATTGTTTTCTAATTTGTTTTCTAAAGTTGTAGTCTAATCTTTCCTGGCACATGTCTGATAAACACATGAGTTTATTGTGTTTATTGATCTGGTCACTTCCTAAGACGTTGTCATCCACTTATCCTCTTCTTAAGCTGTGGTCTTTGTAAAACCGGTGGTCATCCACGGCTGAGCGTTTAAAAATTGGGAACTTTTTATATTTTGTCCATCATATTTGCAGTTTTATTGTTAAAAATGGAAAATACAAAAAGCTGAATTCATCATTTAAATGGATGTTTTATACGAACTGTGTCTTTTTTCAGTTACTGAAATGAAAAAAGAAAAACGTTACATCTTGTTAAGAGAGGAAATAGAGCGTTCCACTGTGTTATTTGTTATTTATTATTGTTTTTGTTAGTTTGCTGCTGGTTGATTTATCAACAGTTATTTTGCAATCACTGCCCACTGTAGTTTGCTGGAGGCATCCTCCATTACTGATACTGCCAGCATCAGTGGTGTGTTTTGCTTTTAAATGATACTAATGACTAGATGTACACTGTAAAAATTACAAATGCCTTAAATATCCGATAAGGTACTCAAAGAACAAAAAACTACATTTAAGGTGACTCAAATTACCTTCCCATATAATGGGGTTACTGGAGGAGCCCTTTATGGTCTACAAGCTTTTGCAGAAACCTAAGTGGGTTCCATCACACTTCAGTTCTAGGTTTCTTTAGGAACTCTCTTCTTTTGAGAGAGCCCTCAAGCACCTTTGGAAGAACTTATTAAAGGGTCTATTTTAAGAACCCTACACTTTCTAGAGTTCCTCAAAATCCTCTTGTATTCCATCAGGATCGTTTAGTAACTAAAAGATTTGCTGAGTTTGGTCAATAGTAGGCCTCAAATCCTAAAACCTGGCAGTCTGAGAACGGTTCCTTAAAACCGCCAAAGATTTTTCAGACTATGCTTGATAAAACGGTTGCTCAAGGAACCTTGTGAATTATTGCAGGTTCCTCAGAGAACTGTCCTTTTCAGAAAGCTTCCTGGAAGCTCACTAAAAGGTTCCACCAGTGAGGATTTAAATAGAAGCTGTTCTGCAGTCATTTTCCAAGTGTCCTGGCCGTTTGTTTCACCTGCACTGAGTCTGAGAAAACTGGACATGCTGTTTATGTGACCTCTGTTAAAGAAATAAAACCCACAGAGCATTTTTATTATGAAGCTTAAGCTTTTTTTGTTTCTAGCATTGAAGAGTTTATTTTATCTGCCAGCTGCTGATGTTTTAACAGTGACTTCTTTGCATTTAATCTGCAAGCCATTATTAGAATTCCACGGTATCTTTATACTAAATATATTATTGAAAAAGAAAATATGTCAACATAATATAATGAAGTAATGTGTGTTTATTGCTTCAATTGTCTTTTCATTTGGAAGTCACAGTGATCAGTTCAGGAACACACTGCATTAGTATAGTGTATTAACTTAACTTACTGTGCTGCCTTAATATTTGAGTTAAACAAACTTCCTGTTAACAGCTCTATCGACTTATTATTTGTTCAGGTGACTCAGAATTTTAAAGCACCATGGTCACTAACTTTCTAAAGATAAAACACCATTTTTTACAGTGTAACAATTTTTGATTTACAGGTATCTGAGAAATAATTTAAATTATAGTTTATTCATCTCTACAGACTCCCACTCTCTGGACTACTTCTTCACTGGAGTCACACCAGGAATCAGCTGTCCAGAGTTCACTGTTGTTGGACACGTGGATGGACTTCAAGGCGGGTATTTTGACAGTAACAGCGAGAGAGTGACCCTAACGGGAGAGTGGCTGAAGGACAATAAGGATGAAGAGCACTGGAACAAGATAACAGAGATTTCACAGTTTTATCAGATCGACTTCAAAGTCTGTATAGCTACAGCAATGCAGCTCTTCAATCACAGTGAAGGTATGTGTGTATGTTTATGTATGTGTGTGCATGTCTCTGTGCAAAAGTCAGAGACCCTTTCGTTTATATAATCACTCTTGATTCAGATCTGAAAAATCCACAGGTGTTTCTGTCCATCATTCCACTGTGAGAAGACGACTCAGTGGGCCATTAAGTACAAACTGTTTACCTCAGCTGCGTCACATTTCTCTCTCACGTGCATCTAAAATGGCTAAAGGAAATAGGGTGCCCTCCACAAATATTGGCACCCCTGGTAATCATGAGCAAAATGATTATTCTTAATTACTTTATCCTTTTGATCTGGCATTCAAAATATTAGCAAAAATCTAAACTTTATTTGAAGTGTAATGATTGAAAGAAAAAAATAAATCTTGTCTTGAAGTAAAAATATTTCTTAAACCTATGTGTGCCACAATTATCGGTACCCCTAGAAATTTTTAGAGGTGAAGTCTAAGTGAAGTATATTCCCATTCATATTTTATGGTTTTGAGTTCGATATGGCAGTTAGTTGGGCTCAGAAGCAAAACTAACTACAGCGTCATTGGTGATATTCAGTCAACAAAGATAGTGTCCCTCTTAATGACTTCAGCAGGAGTCGCTCTCAGTCAGGCTGAAGGCCTTGAAGGTTCCCAAATGGTCACCTTTCACCCAGTTATACAAAGATGGAAAACCCTGTTTCAACTGCTGTACCACCAGCTGCCACCATGTCTGTTAGGATAGATAGGAGATGGGCATCAAAAAGTCCTCATCTTAAGTCTCAGCGTCCTTCTCAAGAAAAATGTCACAGGCCTCACAGAGACACAAGAGCCAAAGAACTAGTATTCCTAAGTGGGAGGAATATATTCTTGAACAAAGTATTCTGTATTAAAAGATTTTTATTAGAAGATTAAATTTCATTTCTGGAGACAATCTATACTGCCCATTCTTACTCTCTCAGAGGGGTTTTGGTGGGCCATTGGGAAATAAAATGATATCAGGCAATTAGAGACACGATGGCACAGCTGAATTATGAATGAGAAAAGTAGTGATGATTTGAATTAATGATACACACCGATCAGGCATAACATCCTGACCACCTCCTTGTTTCTACACTCATTGTCCATTTTATCAGCTCCACTTACTATATAGGTGCACTTTGTAGTTCTACAGTTACAGACTGTAGTCCATCTGTTTCTCTGATACTTTGTTAGCCCCCTTTTACCCTGTTCTTCAGTGGTCAGGACACTCATGAACCATCACTGACCTGGATGTGTGTAATTTAATTGATCCCAATTATCAATTAAATTTGGCTAATTTTTTGAGTAACTAGGGAGCATTTTATCCTTTCCTTACACTGAGCCAGTTAAGTGTGACAGATATGCAAAAACAGAGGAAATCAATGGGCAGCACTGTAGTCTGTAATGTAGTAGTGTCCCCAGTGTCTCCCTATATGATTCACAAAGCAAGCCCCAGTCTGGCATTTAATCATAGTACACATTCCCTTTCTCAGGCCAGTTAGGATTACTAATACATTTTAAGAATGTCACTCTTTCATCACATTCCCAGAGGCTCATACACATGGTTAGTATTGGTAGTATTGCCTTTAAATTGTTTAACTTGGGTCAAACGTTTCTGGTAGCAGTTCACAATAAGTTACTGGAATTTTGGCCCAGTCCTCCTGACAGAACTGATGTGATTGAGTCAGGTTTGTAAATCCCGTTGCTCACACACACTTTTATGGTTCTGCCCATAATTTTCTATGGGATTGAGGTCAGGGCTTTGTGATGGTCACTCCATTACCTTCACTTTGTTCTCCTTAAGCCATTTTGCCACAACTTTGGAAGTAAGCCTGGGATCATTGTCCATTTGGAAAACCCATTTGCGCCTAAGCTTTAACTTCCTGACTGATGTCTTGAGATGTTGCTTCAATATCTCCACATAATTTTCTTCCTCATAATGCAATCTATGTTGTGAAGAGCACCAGGCCCTCCTGCAGCAAAGCACCACCACAACATGATGCTGCCACCCCCATGCTTCGCAGTTGGGATGGTGTTCTTTGGCTTGTAAGCCTCCCCTTTTTGCCTCCATACATAACAATGGTCATTATGGCCAAATACTTCCGTTTTTGTTTCATCAGACTAGAGGACATTTCTCCAAAAATGAACTCAAATGATGCCAATCAGCCCATCAGAAGCCTCGAAAGCCATGATATCATTTCCTGGAATTTTCCAAGCTATTTAAAGGCGCAGTCAACTTGGTGTATGTGAACCTCTGAGCCACTGGAATTTTGATAAAGTGAATTATAAGTGAAATAATCTGTTTGTAAACATTTGTTGAAAAATTGCTTGTGTCATGTACAAAGTAGATATTCTAAACAATTTGCTAAAACTGTAGTTTGTTGACATGGAATCTGTGGAGGGGATAAATGTGACTTCAACCTAAGTGTATGTAAACTTATGACATTCAAATGTAAATCTTTGTATTTACAATCTTATGAAAAGATTTATATTCATTCAAACAATAAAACATTTTTTCCTAATGATGTTTAAATAAAGAAAGGAAGAAGACTCATGTTGATGTGTTCATGTCTGTCTCTGCAGGGATTCACACATGGCAGTTTATGGTCGGCTGTGAGCTGCATGATGATGGAACCAAGAGAGGATACAGCCGATACGGTTATGATGGAAAAGACTGGCTCACTCTGGATCTGAACACTCTCACCTGGACTGCAGCCAATGATAAAGCTGTTATTACCAAACAGGAGGAGAATACAGCTAAAGCCAAAGGCCATAAGAACTTTCTGGAGACTGAATGTATCCAGTGGTTACAGAAGTATGTGAAATTCGGCAGAGAAACTCTGGAGAGGAAAGGTAAAGTGTGTGAGTTGATCTGTTACTGTGCTGATCTTAGCTTTACTGGGGTCCTGAGCAAAACCTGATTTACCCATAACCTCAACTTAAACCGCACATCTACATCCTCCACCAACACCCCCTTGATTCTCTTTATAACAGTCATCTGCTGCTAATGTTAACACAGTAGTTCTTCTGTTACATTAACTTACTTAATAAGTTAATGATAAAAAAAATCTCAGATTTGAAATTAAATTTTTCTATATTTTTTTTGAGGTAAATGATGTCATCATAAGAAAGCTCATGGCTAATCTGGTGAGTCCACTTAAACGCTCCTGGGACGTAATGACCATCCTGGGACCACAATGTGAAGTTCAGCTTATTAACTCACAATTTCCAACATTGTTAACCATTCAACAGTAGCCTTTTCACAAGCTAGTAATAACTAATAAGCATACTGATAAGCTCTTTTCATAAGCTTCTTTTCCTCAGATATTCCTCCTTTTAGAGATGCACATTAGAAAGAAAGTTGCAGGGCAGCTAATGTGAGTTTGGGTACTCAGATGTAACTTGTTTGCTACTTTTAAGACTGGAAGAGCTAAAGTGACAGTAGAATGCACAAAAGTGAAGAGTGGGCAAATTAAATACTGCTGCACAATATTGTGGGACAGGAACTAGTAGTGCAGGAAGTGCAGGAACTCGATGTGGCATCGATTCCGCAATTGGACAGAAGACGTCTGGAGGGATGTTGAGCCATGCTGTCTGGATAGCCATCCACAACACTGTGGTGTTTGTAGGTGCAGGATCTCGGGTGTGAATCGGCCTCTCCACTACCTCCCATAAATGCTCGGTTAGGGCGAACGTGCAGGCCACACCATTTATCAGAACTGTCCAGAATGATCCTCAAACCAGTTCAGGACAACTTGGACCTGATGTGCATCATCCTGCTGGAACATCCCATCGTTTTTGGGGGTACGTGAAGTCCATGAAGGGCTGAAAATGGTCACCAAGCAGTAAAACATAGTGATCACTGGTCAATGATGTGTTCAGGCAGACCAGTGGATCCAACCCATGCCATGAGAACGCACACCACACCAGTATGGAACCAGTACCAGCCTGCACAGTGCCTTGTTGACAACTGGGGTCCATGGCTTCATGGGGTCTGCACCACACATGAACCCTATCATCAGCCTGAAACAACTGGTACCATGACTCATCAGACCACAACACATGTTGCCAGTCCTCTAGGGTCCAGTTAGCAACCCTACAAGCTTTGGTGAGGCGCGGTGTCCGGTGTTGTGGTGTTAACAGAGGCAATCTGGTGGATCTTCTGCTCCCAAATCCCATGGAAGCTAAAGAACACTGCACTGACCTGTGGGATGTGTGTGTGGAGCCGCCTGCATTGTATGTGATTTCTGTCAGAGTCGCTTGTCAGTTCACATGGACAGTTCCAGCCAGACACCACTGGTCATGTTCATTAAGCACCCGTGGGCAGCCACTGCGCTGTCCGCTGTGGGTGGTAATGCCTTCTATGGCGTATTCCCGGTTCACACATGACACTGTGGATTGAGGAATGTTAAATGCCTGCACAACTTCAGAAATAGAAGGTCCCGTCCATCTGGCACCCACTATGCCTCACTCAAATTCCTATAATTCACGTCACCTTGCCATGAGCGCGCTAGACAGTGTTCAACCTCACTCACAAGATAACACTGTAAAAGCAAGACCTGACACCTCATCATCTCCTCTCTGTGCTCCTATCTCTGTATTAATTTCTAAATATGACCCATAGATAAAATGACTGATCAGTGTTGATATTTTGAAGCAGCTGCTGTAGTTCAGTCATGAGACAAGATGGGATGCGTGATCATTAGTCTTCATCTGCAATGCAAGCAACACTAGTGAAACATAACAAACTGCCACAAACCTGTCATAATGTCCCATTTTGATGATAATGTTAACCCCATCTCTCTCTGTCTCTCTCTCTCTCTCTCTCTCTCTGTCTCTCTCTCTCTCTCTCTCTCTCTCTCTCTCTCTCTGTGTCTCTCTCTCTCTCTCTCTCTCTCTCTCTGTCTCTCTCTCTCTCTCTCTCTCTCTCTCCAGTCCCTCCTGAGGGGTCTCTGTTCCAGAAGGACTGTTCTTCTCCAGTGGTGTGTCATGCTACAGGTTTCTTCCCCAAAGCAGTGATGATCTCCTGGCAGAAGAATGGAGAGGTTCTGCATGAGGACGTGGAGCTCAGAGAGACGCTACCCAACCAGGATGGAACCTTCCAGAAGAGGAGCGTTCTGACTGTCACACCTGAGGAACTGGACAAGAATGAATACACCTGCATCATTCAGCACAGCGGCCTGGAGAAGGAGCTGGTGTTACTGGTGTCTGATCTCAGAGGTCAGAGAAATAAGACGTATATTCAGTTATGAAAGCCACTGGTGAGCCATTTATAATAATAATGATCTTTAACCAATTCAGTTTCAGGTGGAGTCTTGATTGGTATCATCGTTGGTGCAGTAGTTTCTGTTCTCCTCGTTATTATCTGTGTTGGAGTTTTGGTGTGGATGAAGAAGCAGCAGCCGTCTGGTAAGAGAAGGAAATAAACACGTCCCAACACCACTGGATTACTAACTGAAGATTTACTGAGCCACTAGGGGGCCCCAGTGAGCAATTAGGAAAAATCTAAACAGTTGTTCTGAATCGTGATGTGAGCTTTACAAGCAGAACAACAAAAAATGAACTATTTTCAACCTCTCTGCTCTCCACAGCATCCCTAAACGTCACAACATTTTCTCCTCCAATCACTGCTTAGCAACTGTTCCACCATCCTCCATTACCTGGTCAAGCTTTCAGAGTTTTGTTTTGTTGTTTTTTACATTGATCTGGTGTTCCTTTGAATGTACTGTGAATCTGAAGTTCTAGATATAAAAAGATGTGCCTGAGGGTTCTGTAAACCTGTATATCTCATCAGAGTAGTGGGTGGTCTATAAGGAAGTGTTGTACTGGTTGTTGGGTTTGTGTTGGGACACAGTTAATTTGGAAAAGTACTGCTTGCTAATATGCTATTGTCTTTATGCAGCCAGTGCTGCTCAACAGAGCAAACGTCTTTATGAACAATAACAAATAAATGTCAAATAATTTAACTTTACACTAAACTATCATACCTAACGGAAATGTTTAATACAAGAGGTTCATTTCTAGAACAACTTAGATGTGTTTTTTATAGTTTTTTTTAGTACAGTCCTCAAACTGTGCAGCTTGGTTGAAACATTCAAAAACATACACATATATACAATATGTGGTGCTGCACAGCCCTCATGTAATCCCTGACCCACTAAAATAATAGTCAGATAGGATAACATGATGATCTTTGCTGAGCTTTTTACTGCATAATTATACACAACACTGTATATGATGATGTAATTCTGTGTAATTTTGATGTTAATTTGTATTCTACATCATCAGCTTCTCAGGTTCCCACAGATGTTTGGAAACCTCCCGAGTGTGTAAGTAAGCGTTTATGAATCTTACCTCACATTAAAAATGAATTATTTAGTTGTTTTGTTTAATAGAATCATTGTTAGCCAACTTGTACAATCTTTACTAAGAGGATCCACACTGAACTGAGTCATTGAATTTAATAATAATAATAGTAATAATAATAATATATTTTGTACACTAATGATGATTTTGTATTTGTGTTTTTAGGACAGAGATGGTGAAGCAGATGATGAATGATTCTGAACTGATTCTGAGTGAAGAGATCAGTCAAACACTGCTTATGTTACACAAACATGTTTCTTCATTACCTTTTAATTTGGAAACTGTTTCCCATTTTGCTTGATTATCCACTTTTCTATTTTGGTTCATTCTGCTTTTGGTAAAACGCTTTACAATGACCACTGGGAAAGTGTCAAAGAAGCAGCTTCAGACTTTTATTTTGTAGCATCTCAAAACTATCACTGAACTTTCACTGAACCCAATCACAATAGGCCTGGAGTGTAGCCTGTTTAGAGTGACGCATGACACAGTGATTAATATTCATAATGGATATTCCAGTTTTTTCATAAACTTTTCATTTTATTTAAACTAAGAGCCAGATACAGTCATAAAATCATAAAGCTCAGTCAGCTGTTTAGTCATTAACAATGTTCAGTGTAAAACATTTACGCTATAAGAAATAGAGATGCATCAATACTGATACTGGTATCAGGTACTGACCCGATGCTGCACTTATTTACTCGACTCATGATCATAAAAACGCACTGATACCAACATCTGATACCAGCTGATACCATGTGATGTAAGCACACTATCACCATTGGGCTGATGAAGAAGCAACTCAAGTTGGCAGTGGACGAGAGTCTACTCACATAGCGAAGTACGAACACTCAAGTAGAGCTGAAATAGTTATATACTGAAGTTATGTTATTTTAACACCACTAATTTGTACTCAGGGATGCTGGTAGTAATTTTGGGCCTTCTGAAAATTCCATGTTTGAGCCCATTTTTCATCATCTCTAGCATACAACAAGTGGTGAATCTAAACATAAACAACATGACAGCATATCAATGTACTGTATTCAACTCACCAAATTATCATGTTAGTTGCTTCTCAGAAGTGTTGCACATTTTCTGTTGAAACGAAACTGTTTTTGACTTGTTTTCTCCACATCATCCCTAAATGTCACAACATTTTCTCCTCCAATCACTGCTTAGCAACTGTTCCACCATCCTCCATTACCTGGTCAAGCTTTCAGAGGTTTGTTTTGTTGTTTTTTACATTGATCTGGTGTTCCTTTGAATGTACTGTGAATCTGAAGTTCTAGATATAAAAAGATGTGCCTGAGGGTTCTGTAAACCTGTATATCTCATCAGAGTAGTGGGTGGTCTATAAGGAAGTGTTGTACTGGTTGTTGGGTTTGTGTTGGGTTCTTGTTAATGTGTGTGTAATGGTGCTATCGTTTTGTTTGTACCACTATAGGGAGTTGGAAAGTGCAGAAAGGTGATTGTACTGCTGTCAGCAATGGGCTATAATATGATTATTATACTGCAGTGGGACACAGTTCACTTGGAAAAAGTACTGCTTGTTAATATGCTATTGTCTTTATGCATATATATATCATCAGTTTTTGATTTGTGTAGGACAGACACATTATTCAAACCCACAAATTTCACATTTATCCAGAGATAATCAACTTTGAGGAGATATTCTGGTTCTAATTCATACTTCATACTTCAACAGTGTGTAAAGATAGAAGGGAAGGCTAGAGAGTTTATTTGCATGCACAGTGGATACCAGACTACTTTCTACTTCACCTTCACTTTCAGATTAAACTTTTACATTTAGTAAAGTGTTTGCGAGAACATCTTAACACAGAAACAGAGGCTGTGCTGCACTGTTGATTTATGAAATAATACAGTGTGAAAACACTGTAAATTTGTAGCATATATTCATAACACACCTTTACGTCTGAAACACTGGGTGACCACATCTGTACGTAGGCCTAAAAATTCAATTACACCTCTTCAGGATCCTTGTAACTTTCCTAAGCTCCACCATTACAGTACCCCCGTTTGTACTAGATCACTACTAATATACATACATACTACTATATATACGACTAATACTATATATTCATGTCACGCATTATGAACACTATGTACTATTAGTGCTACTTTTGCCACCTGTGATATAATTTAAGTATATTAGTCTATGCTGTCAAGCTGAAACTGTCCTAAAATTATGTTTGTACTACCCTTGTGCACCCTAATCAATTAATTAGTATATGAAGTTGTTTACAAATGCAATCACATGTTGTTGCAGAACCGTTCTCATGCTCTTGCGGTTCAGTACACTAAAGTACATACTTTATGTATGTACATGCTGAGAACACCAAGTCAAATACACAATACGGCCAAAAGTATAAAAGTATACCATCAACCTTATATGAGCTTGTAGCGCATTTCAAAACCATAGAAATAAGAGCATTTCTCATGTGTCTCATAAAGATGGGTTATAACTCTGTTCTGAATATGTTACCTATTCTGCCCATCACTGTATATATCGACCTAATTTTATTAGCATTGATTTCAACAAGGTGAAATAGTGTTGAGGTGTATTTTAGGTGGCTTTTATTAAACTTTAGGGAGATCAAAGAATCATCATGTAAGGTCAAAATGGTTCATAGCTAAATTTACTAATAACTGCATGAATTTAGCATTTGTGCCATTAAACAATGTTGAATCAGTATTTAATAACAGTCATTACACATAACAGCTGACATTTGATCCTTGAGTTGATCTTTCTTATTGTTGTGACCTTAAACACATTTACATCAAATCATCAGAGAAAGAGAGAAAGAGAGATAAAGAAATAAAGAACTGATCTTTGTTCAGGAAATTGTCTGTTAGTTCCACTGTACAGAATGCTAATATGTTTTTTTGTTTGTTTGTTTTTACTTTTTAAAGAGAAACATTAATATGAATTGCCCAAGTATGTGAATTTTAAATAAAATCTTAAAAGCTTTTTATACTTTTTTGTATTGATTTGTGTTCTTCACTGTTCAGTGTTTATATTCAGTGTTGGAGATGCTTTAGTGTTTGATATCTGACACATGGCCTCATTCATGCAGATGTTTCAGTGAGGAGCCAATAAAACGACAGCATTCAGCAGCTCATGAGCCAATGGCTGTGCTGGTAGATGGAGTTTGAGGCGAATCTGTGAGTGCAGAGCTCCCCCTACTGACCGGACTTTATAGTGTTAAAATTACCACCACTGGAAGCTCTTCATCAGGACTGCACTGAAAATATTAGAGCATTAGAACACAGATTAGACCTTCACCAGACCATCTAATCACAGTCTGATCAATCATCAGTGTGAAAACAGAGCTCATCAGCTGTGAGGAGAGAGATGTGACTCCACTCTTCATCATCTCTCTACATGATGATTCACTCATCTGCTCACTGTATTGATCTGAACTGAAGCAGTAGTGAATCAGGATCTTCTCTCTGACTGGATGGATGTGGATGTAGCTGTATTTTCTGCATGTAGTGATGAGTGATGAGCTGATGATTGTGTCTCTGTAGGGTTTACACACTGCAGGTGATGATCAGCTGTGAGCTGGATGAAGATCATGCCATTAGAGGGGACTTTTATTTTGTACAAAATGGAGAAGGCTTTGTTGAGTTTGTTGAGTTTGCAGTCATTCAGAGTGGTTTGGTGTGAAATGGTTGATTTTAGAGACTCGGGTTTCTTTACAGTGGTGGTGAACTGGTGCTCCACTGTGCTCCACTGATCCACTTCATGAAGGACTGATAATTATCAGGTGTGATTTTCAGGGTCAGTTGTAAACAGTGCTGGACAGTGAGTGATCAGGATAGAGCTGAAACACTGATCTACTGCACTGTGGGAACTGAATATAATCCGTTCAGTTAAAGAAGCTGCTGTAAAGCTCGTCTTTCCAGAGATTGTATATATTCTAGCAGCTTATTTTGGGTGAATTCTGGATTTACTCTACAAATAACAGTCAATATTTTACACCTTCATATACTTTGAGAGGAACTTTCATCTGAGTAACATTTTCCGCATTTTCTGAATTTGGATTTTCACTTATTTTATTTCTCTTTTTTGAGCTAATGAATATGTACTATTTATGATTTAGGCACAGTTACTGGAAATCTTTTTGTCATATCTGTTCTTTTTTCTGCTGCAAACACATAAAATGCACTAATGAGAGCTCATCTCACTGATACTGATACCACTGTCTGCACATTGTCTAATGAACTGTGTATTATCTTCTTTAAGAGATATTTTTCTGGCGCTTTCCATGAATGGAGTTCATTTTAGGCCTCCGTCTGTTTTTTCTTTGCTGTTTTTTGATGAATATTAAGTAAGTGCTTAACCTTCAGAAAGTGTTATTGTCCCTCCTCAGGCCGTCAAACCAGACACTATATGAGCTGTTTTACTTCTGACATGTACAGCACTTTTTGCAACTCTGTTACCAATTTTTAGGGGGCTGTTTAAATGGCAATT